TGTATTTGCTCATTTAAGTCTTTCTTTAATTCAGAGATCATTTCTTAAAAATATTTTTTTAGTTGTAGATGGACACAATACCTTTATGTTATTTATTTTATGTGTTGCCAAGGATTGAAGCCAGTGCCTCATACATGCTAGGCTAGCACTCTACCACTGAGCCATAACCTTGGCCCCTCAAAGATCATTTTAATTATATACATTCTGAACTCCTTCTCTGACGTTTCATCAACTGTGCTGTCCATGGGTTATGTTATTGTAATATCTTGGTTTGATTGGGACACTTTTTTCCCTTGTTTTTTTATGTTATCCGTGTATCTTCCGTTCTTGCAGTGCAGATCTGAGGTATTACAGTTTCTGCCCTATATGTTATAGTAACTGTGCATATTATCTCTACCTCACCTTGGTGTTGAGCTTCCAGAACCTGCCAGTGATCTTCGAGGGATGCTACTGGAACTATAGGTGGTGGCGGCAATAGTAATTGATCTGTTTAACTTGTGATTCAGTTTGGGCAAATCATGTGACTCTAGAAAAGTTGTCAATGCCTTCGATATTTTCTATTTTATTAGAGTACAAATTTTCAAAAGAATTTCTAATTATCTTTTGTATTTCTGTAGTGTCTGTTGTGATATTTTCTTTTTCATCTTGGATGTTACTAACTTGAGTTTTCTCTCTCCTCTTTGTTATCATGGTTAAGATTTTATCAATTTTATTTATTTTTTAAAAGAACCAACTTTTTGTTTTGTCAATTTTTTATTGTTTCTTTTCCAATTTCATTGATTTCAGCTCTGATTTTAATTATTTCCTGTCTTCTGCTGTTTTTGGTGTTGATTTATTCTTACTTTTCTAGGGCTTTGAGATGTAATGTTAGATCATTTATTTGTTGACATGTTCTTTTTTTTTAAGGAATGAACTCCATGCAGTTAACTTTCCTCTTACTACTGCCTTCATAGTGTCCCAGAGATTTTGATATATTGTATCAATGTTCCAATTTACCTCTAAGAATTGTTTTTATTTTTTAGTTGTAGATAGACACAATATCTTTATTTATTTTTATGTTGTGCTGAGGATCGAACCCAGTGCCTTGCATGTGTGAGGCAAGTGCTCTACCACTGAACTATAGCACCAGCCCTAAGAATATTTTAATCTCCTCTTTGATGTCTTTTGCAATCCATTGTTTATTCAATAGCATATTATTTGATTTCCAGGTGTTGGAGTAGCTTCTTTTTTTAATTTTATGACTGATTTCTAATTTTATTCCATTATGATCTGATAGAATTCAGGACAGCATCTCTATTTTTTTTTTAAGAGAGAGAGAGAGAGAGAGAGAGAGAATTTTTAATATTTATTTTTCAGTTCTCGGCGGACACAACATCTTTGTTGGTATGTGGTGCTGAGAATTGAACCCGGGTCGCACGCATACCAGGCGAGCGCGCTACCGCCTGAGCCACATCCCCAGCCCAGTATCTCTATTTTTTAATATGCTAAGAGTTTCTTAATATATGGTAGCATATATTATGCCACATAATCTATGTGCTGCCCAGAAGAAAATGTATTCACTCCTTTATGGATGAAATATATAACTGTTATGTCTTGTTGATGTATGGTTCCATTAAGCAGTATGTAGTGTCCTTCTTTTTCCCTTTTGATTAACTTTGGCTTGAAGTCTACTTTATTTGATATGAGGATGGAAACCCCTGCTTGTTTATGTGGTCCATGTGAATGGTATGTTTTTTTCCCAACCTTTCACCTTCAGTCTGTGAGATAAATCTCTTGAAAGCAGGATATTGTTGGGTCTTTTTAAAAATCCAATCTGCTAGCCTATGTCTTTTGATTGGTGAGTTTAGGCCACTAACACTTAGGGTTATTATTGTGACATGATTTGTTTTCCTGGTCATTTTTGTTTATTTTTGGTTTTTGACTTGACTTGTTTTCTCCTTTGATTGGTATTTCCTTTAGTGTAGTACCTCCATTTGCTGATTTTCATTGTTGTTTTTTAATTTCCTCCTTATAGAATATTTTGCCAAGGATGTTCTCTAGTGCAAGCTTTCTAGTTGTAAATTCTTTTAACATTTTTGTCATCAAATCTGAAGCTTAATTTTGCTGGATATAAGATTCTTGGTTGGCATCATTTTCTTTCAGAGCTTAGTATAGGTTGTTCCAGGATCTCCTGGCTTTGAGGGTCTGGGTTGAAAAATCTGCAAATATCCTAATTGGTCTCCCCTATATGTGATCTGATTCCTTTCTCTTGTGGCTTTTAAAATTCTCTCCTTATTCTGTATGCTAGGCATTTTCATTTATAATGTGCCTTGGTATGGATCTGTTGTGATTTTGTACATTTGGTGTTCTATGAGCCTCTTTTGTTTGATTTTCCAATTCATTTTTCATGTTTGGAAAATTTTCTGAAATTATCTCATTGAAGAGATCGTGCTTTCCTTTGGTCTGGAACTGTATGCCTTCCTCTATCCCAATAATTCTTAAATTTGGTCTTAAATTTTTGCTCATGATTTCTTACCATCTTCACTGTGTGATCAATATTCTTTTCAAGATTATATATTTTGTCTTCCTTGTCTGAGGTCCTGTCTTCCAAGTGATCTAATCTGTTGGTGATGCTTTCTTTTGAGTTTTTAATATGGTTTATTGTTTCTTTCATTTTGAGGATTTATATTTGGTTTCTTTTTCAGAACCTCTATAACTTTATAGAAGTAATCTTTTGCTTCCTATATATGCTTATGTGGCTCTTATCAAAATGATCTCTTGCTGCCTGGATTTGCTCTTTTAAGTCATCTTTAATTCAGAGAACATTTTAATTATGTACATCCTGAACTCCTCTCTGTCATACTTCTGCTGTGCTGGCCCTGGATTCTAATAATATAATGTCTTGGTTTGTTTTGGACACTTTCTTTCCTTGTTTTTTTTTTTTTTAATGTTGATTTTGTGTCATCCCTTCCATCACTGTGGATCCAAGGCATTACAGTTTTTACCCTATAGGCTTGTAGTGTCCTGCAGGTTTTCAATACCTCTCCTTTAAGAGGGAAAACAATGTGAACAGATCCCAATACAAACAATATACAACCTATTTAGACGTTTATGGTTTTGTCACAATATACAGAAATGGTGAGTTCAATTATTATCCACAGTATAAATAGTAGATTTGCAAAGGGGTCTACAGTTTCTGGTGGTGGTGGACAAAGAACCAGGGGTAAGGTGTAGGATGAGATGTTGAAGTGGTAGGAGGTGAGGATATGGAGTTATTAGATCTTTGAAAGTGTGAAAGAGGAATCTAAAGAAGTTGGTTAGTAGCAGGAGAAGAGAGAGAAAGTGATTTTGGGGAGACAAGCAAGTGGGAAGACAGTAGAGTACAAAAGCCAAAAATAAATGTCAAGAAAAATAAAAAATGAAAAAATAGGAGGTAAAGAATATACAACACCACTGTAATATACTATTCAGACATCCCAGTCCTCAATATCCTAATTCATGAAAAGTACTTGGTTTCACAAATGTTGGGGATATGTGGGTTGGAGGACAGAGAGAGAAATCTTGAAGGAAGATACAAGGATTTTTTTCCTGGAGATCAGTGTCTTTCCTACTTCCCTTCTCATCTAGTGGGTGGGCTTGTGGTGTCTTCACCCTCAGGATGGTGAAGGTTATTAGGGTGGGAGGGTTGGTCTTGGGGGCAGAGCTCCTGGAAGTGGGATATAGCAATTGCTGGTCCCCAATGGGAGACTGCACCCCAAGGATCTCCTTTGGGGCCTACTTGTGTGATATGGGCGCCTGGTCTTATCGCCTCATATTGCCTGTAGACCTTGCAATTCCTGGTCTCTAATTTGGTATCTAAATTGTATCTCGTTCACCCCCTCTCATTCATTTCCCAATCAGGAAACTTTCTCTCCAAGGTGTTGTGGGCTGGGATCTGGGGGCTACACACCTGTTGTGGAGAGATGTTTTATATCGGGAAATTCAGGACCTGGTTTTGTGAACTATGGATCAGCCACACAAACTTATGCACTGTTCAGGGTTAGCAGCTGCTGGGGAGAGTGGGTAGTTGGAGACTTTCAGTACCTTGATATTGCTTCTAAGCCCCAACAGGTGTTCCAAGCTGGGGGTTGCCCCAACTAAAGATGGTGACAAAGATGTCCCAAGATGGAGGTGGTTGCTCTCAGGGATGGGGTGTTGGGTTGGGTGGGGCCTGGTGGTGGCATTGAGCAGCTTGTTCAGAGATGCAGCTCTGTGGCATACAGTGTTGTGGACAGCAGCTGTCTCTGAACCCAGTGCAGTGTCCCCAGGTGCAGGTTACCATGTGTAGGGGACTGCGGCAGGGGTTGCAGTGCCCCAAGATGGAGACAACCGAGGGAGCCCTATGTTGGCAGCTGGAGTTCCTGTACAGGTGGTGGCCAGAAGTCCCACATGGTTGCCGATGAAGCCAGATTTAAAGTTAGGTAGTCAGTGTAGTTAG